GTTGGCCGTCGTATAAGTATTTCCATGCGTTATTCCATTCGGTAAAGACCAACTTATAAACCAGATCGTAATTTTACGCTATTGTGCTTTCCAGCATTAATCGTCTCGGCAAAAGTTTTTAATCCGTCAATTAAGGCGGACGACGATCTCCACTCTGGGATTTTATAATCTGATCAATTATGTGATTCAACATTATAATGTCAGAATGTGCCGTCTTAGCAAGATTTTTCATTTCTGCTAGGTATGATGATATTTCATCGATCATAAACGTAGTTGCAGTTGAGATAGGTTTTTGAACTATTGAACATCTTATCCCATTCATACTGATGGTGCGACTTACATAAATTCCGTGATTATATAATAGTTTTATTATGCTCTCTAAAAATAGAGTTGAATATTCTGAAGAATTCATTCCCGTCGGGGTGCCATCATACTGATCAAGAAGGTGATAACGCGGAGCAATATTCCGAATGATATGATCAATTGTGTGTAGATCTTGATTATTCTGAAAGGGAGTAGCACTGCTCATCACCAAAAAAGTTTTACTCTTTAGATGATCCACAAATAATTTCATCGAGTCAGCCACGTTCAACTGAAGTCTATTATTTTTCTTGTTTCTATCAAAAGTATCATGCATGATGGCATAGAGTGACCGTATATCATTTCCACTTTTGTTTCGATTATTAATGGCTAATCTCATCTTGTCACTAATATTTTTTATCTTATGAAATTCATCGCAGAACATCGCTGTTGGGAACATGACTTCTTCTTTAAAAACATTCATAATATTTTCAAAATTGATCATCAGGCCATTATAAGTAAGAAAGAGTACAGTTGGATGTAATAGTGAAAACGAGAACATGGTGGCAGTGGCTCAATAGAGTTTGTAGTTTGTACCGCAGGTGTATCTGTTAAAAATTGTTTTATCGACATGAATTGTATAAACAAATCATCTCCTTCCAAGTCTATTGTTGTTAAACCGTTATTGGTCATATTTTTTAATGAATATTTATTTTTTTTTGTAAGTGTTAATACTTCGGCAAAGGCTTTTTTGCAAGTGGCAAATAATTGTTCGCTACATGTTAACCATATTATTAGAGGAGGGGTGCATCTGCAGAGTATATTTTTCTTTTTATTCAAATACTGTTCAACTAATATGGTGGTTACTATCATACCCGCAATTTCTCTACTCTTTCCAACTCCGGTACCATCTCCAATAACAAATCCTCCACCGTATATATTTTTTGATCGTGCGTCAATATAGCCCAAGTTATCTCTGTGTTTATAATACTGAACAGAAAATAAACGTACAGCTTCTCCTTGAAGTGTTATGAGAGACATAGGTCTGAGTAAAATCTAGGTTGAGTATAACCATCTACCCAGCAATCATCCATTCCACCTTTTGTCAAAGTATCACATCGCCCTACCTCTAAGAGAGCTTTACTCTCATATACTTCAATGATGGTACGGCAAACTTGTTGGAGCCGATTGCCTCGACCGTGTCTACTGATGGGAATAAAAGTGGGAACGATTGTTTTTGCCATTGTATTCTGTTCATCATTATGTGTACATACAACAAATGGGTAGATAAAATATAGGATGAATACTGCCACTGTCGTCATATAAAATATATATATAATATGTACAACGCTTGCATATTAAAGCTTGTTGTTCATCATCATAATACAGTTTTGCCATTATTTATATCAGAAAGAGTTATTTATAGACTCTTTTTTTGTTAACAATGAACCTTGTAGTTTTTTTGGTCATATTATCTTTTAGTTTGTTCCACAATTAAGAAAAAAAATGTAGTAGCAGAGGTAGGTGTGTAACCATTATCATCACTAGTAAAATATGGACTCTGGGTACAATCACACTCATCATATGCTATTAGGCAAATATTTATAAATATCTTTGGATTTTCAGCTAAATTTGGACAATTATTCAAATATCTCTATTATATGTTTTCAAATACTTTTATCCATATTGTATCTACATATATATATATATATATATATATATATATATATATATATATATATATATATATATAGTAATCGTTATGAGAAATCGATGCAAATTCAAAAATTCTTTATTGAATTAATATAGCCTTTTATATGTGCGTTTTTTATACATCAAGACGTTAAAGTTGAGTTTGTTGAAAAGTTCTTTTAATATTGGTTTGTTGTTATTATTAATATTATTATTGGGAGAGTCAACGAGATCATCTATAATGAGATCTTGACCTTTCGGGTTACTTGAGGTCTTGTAGACTTTATCCATTTTCAGTTTGTGAAATTGTCTCTTGGTGATACTATATTAATTACAATACTAATTATTCGATATAAATATTTTTACTTTAAATATTCTTACTTTAAATGTTTTTAGTCAGCTACTTGTTATTTTTTGGGTTGTATCTTCCGTCACACTCACTGTAATAAGGATTTATAATCTTCATTCTCCCCACAAATATGGCACCTGCAGATTTTAATTTACCTGTAGGTGGTTATACTGAAAAAAACTATAGCGATGCTGATATGTATTCAAAAAATAAATTACTGCAACAGCAAATTTGTTCATTAGTCGCCCTTGAGCCAGCTACTTATTCCTTTGTCAATATAACCAATCAAGGGATCGACGGTTGGAAATCGCTGGGCATCGAGATAGAGCGTGGTCAGGCACTCGCCCCGTTTTACGAAATTACCTATAATGTTGACAAGCTTGATTGCTCAAAATTTTCTTGCTTGCCAATAGATGTTCGAGATAACAAAAATGGGATAGGGTCATGTAACTTTAAAAAGACACCAGCTATCGATATAAACTTTGGATTGAAATCCGACATGTATACAGCGTGTGGAGAGGCATGCTATAGTCTCAGTAAAAGGATTGATCCACATACTGGACTTCCCAAAGCCAGTGGGAATCTAATGATAAAAGGAGAAAAATGGAATCTGTAATTATATCAATCAGAATTTACTGTTATGGGGTACCTTGCCCCAATCCAGAGTCACCCAGTCTGGCGATATTGTAAATGGTTACAATGATAATTTTGTCCCACCATTTACCGTCATTGATAATGGCATGTATAAATAAATTAGAAATTACCCAAGCCTATTGTCAATATTTCAAGAGATGGTTTAACGATAAAAGAAAAAATGCTATCGTAGCACGTGGATGAAGTTGTTACACATGACTTTTGGCACAGCTATATCTAACGTGTTTTTTCCACAGAATACCAACATGATAAATAATGCTAGGACTAAGGTAAATATGAGAAAACTTAAATACCCGAACGTCGAAAAAATAATAAAACGCGACAATGACAAAAAATCTAATACGAACAATAAAATAAAAATGATGTCGTCTGCTATAACTGACATACTGACATCGTCTATACTTTCTGATGACAATGGCGGGAGTGGAGATGAAACGACTTTCTCAAAGGCGGATTTACCATTATCACAATTAGCATTGACTACCCCTACTAATACTAATGCGCGAATAACAAGGGTTGTAAACAATTCGATACCTAATAATGGTGATGTGTTTATTACAGATGGATATCTTAAAGATCTAAATGAGAAAAAGCTAGACTCAATAAAAAGCTAAAAGATGAAATGATATCCTTTTTGAAAGGAAACGAAAAAAAAATAGAGTAAGAAAAAGGACAAGATAATGGCTATAGAAAGAAAAGCAGAAATATTATAGAAACATTAATAGACTTTGTTGTTATATGTAAAGTGCATAAAGTAAAAGATCTAGAGGCAAGACGATTAATACTTTCAAAAATTTTACATGTGTGTAAAAACGACCGATGTGTAAAATTACCCGAGGCACTTCAAATTATCACCTTTATTCCAAGATAAAGAATATCATGTTTCCAAATGCGCGCTTACGTGAAAAGAAACAACAACATCCTCTATTCAAGAGCGATGACGATCTGACAATGTTTGTCAATGACCGCTATAGAATTCATGAGGGTGAAACGTCACCAAAGTCAGAAAAGCCACCCTATATCATTCAAATGGTCAAGTCAATTACAGGTTCGGGTAATAATACATCCGCGTCCACCACTTTTATTCCATCTCTATTGAACATGTATCCTTTTATGCCGACAATAAGAAAGAGCTTGACAAACATTGCTTTTCATTTATGGAACGATCTTCACGATCTCATATCTCCCGACTGGGCAAGGTATAACGATGATTTTTCTTACGATAATAATTTTTTTGTTATGCTGATGGTGGATAATGTAATACACAAGAGCCTATCGTATATGGCTACCGCTTGTAGAAACATTGTCGAGAGACTGTCGGTTCGTACCATAGAGTCGTTGGCAGCGAGAGTGCGCTAATGGCAGAAGATGCCTTGACGACCGTCTTTTCTAGAATGGTAATTTCTACCGCCCAGCGACTAGCGGTAGATTTTTTAGTGCGAGGAGCCATTGTTACAGCACTGGAAATATTTGTTGAACTAGCAGCACTGGTTGCAGGGGTATTAGATGGAATTGGTATTCTCCTGATAGTAGGGGGGGTTCTAGGTATGGTTCTTGACTTGGCATTAAACATGACATGGTACGATAACGTTATGACACCAGAAACCTTGGCATCACATATCAAAAATTATGTAACAGCCTTCAAATCGACAACGGATTTAACGGCTGGGGAAATAGCTCCAGTAACACCAAAGGAACTAGTAGAAATTGCTATAAATTCGGAAATGAATAGCTTTGATGAGAATAAAAATGACTATGAAACCTTTCTAAATACATATTTTGACGAAAAGCCGCTCATTGGGTCGAAGACCGAAACATTCTTACAGGAAGCGTATTTTGAATATCTCGGAACCAAGACGATGAATAGTTTTTAGGACAACCTTTATCTAGAGCAACCGGTACTAATAACAACAGTAGCAACAACGGAGGACCGATCACTGCTTATCTAGACGGGGGTAAGGAGAAAATTGTGAAACTATTACATACTGGATCAAAATATACGGATATGGTAACCTACAATGCGCCACGTGTAACGGCCTACAATTTAGAACATAAAGAAGATAGAAATCATTTTGTAAAGCTAGAATCACTGCAAGAAACACGAATCATGGCGAAATGGACAATGTTGGGTGCCGGTGTTAGCATGTTGATTGGAACGTTGGTTCTTTTCTTTGGTCTTGTTAGTTTCTGGCAAAGCGATATTCCCCTAAACCTTTTTCTTGTAGCAATACTTATTTATATATTTTATTGGCGAGATCCCACCTTGCAATAACTAAGACGAGAATAATTGTTTGTGATTTTATCAAGAATTCTCGATTGTTCAATCTAAATGAAAACAATCTCATGAAATATAAAGACGTTGAGGAACTAAAAGAAAATTCTGCCTCCGTTAGATATTTTTTTTCAGAATTTACAAAACCGTTTTCTAATTTCATTCAAACATCTATATAGAAAAGCCAATAATATATATACAATGTATATATAATAGACCTCCTAGGTAATTCGTTCAATAAGATAAAAATGATTGTAATATGAAAGTTTTTTTTAATATAACCAATCACTCATTAGCTTAAGAGGATAATAATATCAATGAGTTATCAAGAAATATATATTTTTTATTTTGTTCCATAGTCATAATTGGAGAAATAGTCGTTTAACACCATGATTACTTATTCACCTCTCTGGATACCTGAAAGAAACACGAATCGATATATTAACAATATATGCACTGGTGATTGAATAAGGTTAAATATGTTACTCGTATGGAAAAAAAACAATAACCTATACTTATAATGTATTACCTTGTTCATGCACACTATTCTCTCAAGAGGTCGGCATAGAATAAATAATATTTCTTGGGAAGATTCAGGGTCAAGATGCACCCATAGAATATTTCTGTACCGAAGCAATTTTTCCTAGAGAGAAGAAAGTATATTTATTTAGTGTTAAATATAAACAGATTTGTATAGTTTCATAGTTTTTTTTTTATATAAGAATACAAACTATATATATATATATATATATATATATATATATATATATATATATATATATATATATATATATATATATATATATATATATATGTATCTTTTACCTGCAATCTCTCTCAATAGTTGTATCCTTCCTATAGATATTCTGGCAGTCCAAACACACCCTATTGAGCTTGGTCCAGAGTCTTCGGTCGTATACCCCTTTACACGAAGCGTCAAAGGTCTGCCTCTTTCTTCTGATGGATAATCTGTCACTCATATTGCAGGAAGTGTTTAGTTTCAAGACGAATTTTACACCGTTACTGTTGTGCGATACCAGAACGGTGATCAGAACAAGAATTGATGCTGAGACAAGAACGATCTGTAAGAAGGGAAGAACGAAAACTGTGAGATATGGCGACGAAACAAAACGTTAAAAATAAGAAATTGAATAAACGGATACCTTGATTTATATATAAAAAATATACTATATTACCTTATTATGATCCATAGTTAACTATTGTATTTATAGTTATTTCCGAGTTCTCGCTTTCAGACCTGCAGAGTAGCCCTATGTTACAAATAAGATATTTACTCTGCGATTGAAGCACCAACAAAAATCATCTGATATATATATATATGTATATGTATATTGGCCAGAGTTTATACAATTATTTGTATTGTAATGTGGTTCTTATAACAAAAATATTAACATATAAGGGCTATATAGTTAAATTTTTATATTTATACAACGAGATATATAAAAAAAAGTTCATTTTCACAGAAGAAGATGGAAAAGAAAATTCCGAGGGGGCTCGTTCACACAAGAATCGTCCAAGTCTAGAATCTATAAGGCGTTCAAGAGTCTTGACTTGGTGTTTGAGGCGACAAGATTACAGACATTTATCGACTGGCCATTGGAAAAGCCAAATCCTTCTGAACTAGCTACTGATGGATTTATTTATACAAGGACTAAAGATTATTGTACGTGTGTATTTTGTTGGCAATTAATTCAGATTGAAATAAATGATAATCCAAGACAAAAACATGAAAGGATTGCACCTTTTTGTCCCTTTATTAGGGATCAACCGGTTGGTAATGTTCCCATCAATCAGAATACTTGCGGAACAATTGTGACTAAGTCTTATCCTGAATGTGATCGCCTGGGTGTTTTTATCAAACGTTGTCCACCAAAACGCAAGGATTATATGTTAATAGAAAAGAGATTGAAAAGTTTTGATGTTAACAAATGGCCTGATGATCTTACACAAACAAGAGAAGATCTTGTCGACGCAGGTTTTTTTTATTGCGGTAAGTTTTAATAACGTATACACACACACACACACATATATATATATATATATATATATATATATATATATATATATATATATATATATATATATATATATATATATATATATATTATGGGTAATATTGATATGCGAAATTATCATTACAGGTTTGAGTGACCACGTTCGTTGTTTTCACTGTGGAAATGGTCTACGCAACTGGGAATCTGGTGATATACCTTGGAATGAGCATGCTAGATGGTATCCACATTGCCATTATGTTAATATTAGGAAAGGACAAGAATTTATTGAAAAAGTAAGTATTTTCTGACTTTTTCTATATTCTTTATGTATAATGTGATTGTTTTTTTTAGTGATTGTCTATATATATATATATATATATATATATATATATATATATATAGTTAATCACTTGTTTGATATTTGTTTTTTCAGATTCAACGAGAAAATCCTCCATTGCAATACCAACAACCTGATGAACAACAAATTGAACTTTTAATAAATGAATATGATATTTTTAGAGTTGTGTTAAAATATATGAAAAGTGAGTTTGATATGAGAGATGAAGAATACAATTATAGATTTCTTAGAGACATTATTATTGATCGCTTTAAGAGAACTGGAATGTGGACCTATGACAGAATTGATACTATGATTCTTGATGTAAAAGAATCTATAACTCCACAAATAAGTAAGAGTCATAGTTGTACTGAATATACCGGAATGATATGTCCAGTCACGGCTACTCAAGTAAGTCTGACTAGTGGCGGGGAATATACTGATATAGGTGGAGTAAAAATCGTGAATTCTGCTGTACAAAAAATGATCACTACCAAAGCTGCGACGAAGACGACAATACTGTCAACGAATAAAACAGAGAGACAAGATAATACCATTACCTCACAATGGACTAATCATACAAGTAGGTATATGACGAATGATATAATAAATTGTTATTTATATTAATTTGTTATATATATATATATATATATATATATATATATATATATATATATATATATATATATATATATATATATATATATAATCTGTCTTTTGTAATCTAACCAATTGTGCTATTCTCTTTTTAGGAGATGAATTGGAAAATGAACTTGAACAGATGCGCAACTCTATCACATGCAAATTGTGTATGGTGTATAAAATTAGTGTAATGTTCACACCTTGCGCACATATGGTCACATGTCATTATTGTGCTTTAAATATAGAAAGGTGTCCCGTTTGTACAAAATGATTGAATATATATGTAAACCCTATATGTAAATTCTCTCTCTATATATATATTATATATATATATATATATCACTTGTAATTTCATAAATAAAGTTATGAAAATTATGGGCATTATGAAAGTGTCTTTTATGCAGCAGACTGGTTGATGATAATTGGACAAATATAAGAGTTTCATATCTCATAATTCAGCTTTTGCCTGTAAATTAACGAATAATAAAATTATAAAAAATGTCGACTATGAAGGGCTGTATAGATTAATTTTTGTACTTATATGCTGAGATTTAAAAATGAAGCTAGTCTTTAAAAAGATGGATAAAGAAATAGAGAAGACCGGATGTTCGTCTACACAAGAATCGTCATTAAGGCTCAAGTCTAGAATCAACAAGACATTCAAAAATTATGATTATTTAAAATCTGAGACTGCGAGATTACAGACGTTTATCGACTGGCCATTGGAATGGTTAAAGCCTTCTGAACTAGCTGCTGCTGGCTTTTATTATATGAGGACTAAGATCATTGTGCGTGTATATTCTGTGCACAAATAATTGGGATGTGGGAAAAGAATGACAACCCAAGACAAGAACATGAGAGACATTCACCTCATTGTCCTTTTATAAGGGGACAAAATGTTGGTAATATTGCTATCAATCCAAAAAACAATATTTGCTACACACAGGATACAGATATTTGTGGAACCCCAAGACTTATGGCCGGATCTTATCCCGAATGCGGTAAGTGAAATTACAATATTTTTTTGAAATCCTGAATGCGGTAAGTGAAATTACAAATATTTTGATATAATTCGAGTTATCGAAAATTAATATTTTGCTATTTTCCCCCTATAAAGCTCCTCCGGATATTAACAAACACACCCCCCCGGGTGTTTTTACCAAACATTCTCCACCAAAACGTGACAGCTTTATGTTGAAAGAGGATAGACTGAAAAGCTTTGATGAGTACCAAGTGGCCTGATGAACTTACACAAATAAAAGAAGATCTTGTCGACGCGGGTTTTTTTTATTGTGGTGAGTCATATTACAAAGAATTGTTGAAATATTGGGATAACCATATATTATCAATGTTGAATTGTGACTATAGAACTTGACCACAGGTTTGAGTGACCACGTTCGTTTTTCACTGTGGAAATGGATTACACAACTGGGAAACCAGTGATATACCTTGGATTGAACATGCTAGGTGGTATCCAGATTGTTACTACGTTAAAATAACAAAAGGGCAAGAATTCATCGACAAAGTAAGTAAATATATGTTCTTTTTCTTTTTACTTTATTTATATTCCCTCTCTCCTTATATATATATATATATATATATATATATATATATATATATATATATATATATATATATATATATATATATATGATTATTTATTTTCAGATTCAACGAGAAAATTCTTCACTGCAATATCAACAACTTAATGACCAACAACCTGAACCACATGATTCTCG